TCCACAAATTATACCAACATCAAATACTGTGAAAGCAGGGGTTATACCATGGGGGAGGGACATACAAAGCAACAAAGAAATCATCTTATAAATGTGTTAGAAACAATCGCATGAAAGAAAAAAACATTTGAATACATGTCTTAGGGTTCATTTCCCTAACATCAACTTATCTGATCTTTTCTGCTTGACTCAGACATATACTAGTTATTGCAAATAAGGGAAACCATGGGACCTATGTTTCTTTGGGCCTGGCTTACTTCACTGAATATAATTTTTTTCCAAGTCTTTCCATTTCCTAGCAAATGGGGCGATGTCATTCTTTCTGATGGAGGCATAGAATTCTATTGTGTGTACATACCACATCAAATTTGTACTTTTTGAGACTGTCTCTTTCATCCAAATTATTAAATTGATTGATGTTATATTATTAATAATATCTTTTTGCCTTTTTAACATATGCAGTCTCCAAGATTAATGTTAGTCTTCTTGTTATGTTTTCTTAGAAAGGTCTCCTCATGAGAGTGGACATAAATGAAGACAATTTCCCCCAAGGAGACACCTGATTGGAAGAACCTAACTAGGTCAGCATTGACCAGTGTGTCAAGATTACTCAACTGAAAAATGTTGTTAAAAAATACTGGATAGTCATGCAAAAGAATGAATTGGGGGAGCATGTAGGGTGGCATACATCTGTAGTCTTAGCTTTTTGGAGATCAGGAGGATCATAGTTCAAAGCCAGTCTGGACACAAATTTAGTGAGCTCTTGTTTCAACCAAGCCAGGCATGATAGTCCAAACCTGTAATCTCAGGTTTGTACTGTCATATTACTATAAAGATCTAATAGAATATATTGAAAATTTTCTGCAACTCAACACAAAACATCATACAAATGAATGAAGGTAACAAATAGATACGGATCTAATGGGGATACTACTAATAAGAGAAATGCCAATGAAAACCACAGTATACCATCATCTCAGACCCATTAAGATGTCCCCTCAGAAATAAACCAGAAAGTAATACATATTGGAGGGCATGTAGAGAAATTGGAATCCTTTCTGTACCATTATTTGGCTTGTAAAACACTATGTCCTCCAAATTAAAAAAAAAAAAATAGAACAACCATACCATTCTGGAATCCCCGTGTACTCGATGGACATCCAAATGATCTGAAGGTCATGTCTCCAAGAGAAATTTGCATATGCATGTTTGGAGCCACACCATTCATCATACATAATTTAAGTTGAACTTGCATACCCGTGACTAGGGTGAGCTTCATAACAGATTAGATTTTGCAATGGAAAAGAATAGTGAGTTGAAAGAAAAACACAGAAACTATCCCAAATTCAACCCAGAAGAAAGCACGAATGATAGGTGAGACGGCTTCTAAGGACTAATATGCTTAACTGTAATTCTAGAGATGTAAAGTATATTCGGTAACATCATGGTTGACAAAAATTGTTGAAGGAAATAGATATTATTCTGTAGAGGAAGCAGCTTGATGTGAAGAAGACCGTTAACAGCCATCTTTAGTCATGTGAGAGGGAGAAAAAGATCAGACTTGTTTTCTGGGTGTTTAAGATGGAGCCAGAGCAAAGCTAGGAGCTGGAAAGAGGCAGCTGAATATCAGGGGTTGAACAACTGATCAAGAGCAGCTGCTCAGCAGTAGAGTATGGGTGGCACTGATGGCTTTCCAGGTTTGGAAATGCTTTAGAAGAAATTACACAACTCTTTGGTAGAGCACAGTGGGGGAGAAGTCTAATAACAGATGAGAGAAATAACTTCTAAAGCAATTCTTAACCAGAGACTAGAATTTTCAGTGCGATGGGCTGGGATAGGCATTGTTCCCTGACCTTTTCTTCTGTACCAAAGATTAATAATGAAAAGTTACACTCCCTTTATGCAAGAACAGAAAAAAAGGACATTAAGAAGAAAATGTGGCTTCCTATCTTGGCTTTGAACTGACCCATCTCTTGGCTTTATTCGTTGGCTTTATTCTACAAAATGAAGGGGTTTGACTTTATTGAATAAATATCAGGTGATCTCCAGCTCCCCATTAGCTTAAAACTGAATTTCAACATGTTTTCTTTAGCCATTGCTTACATTCTGCTCACCATCCATGATCAGATCCATTTTCCTTCCTGTTCAACTGTGTATTCTAATCTTGCTTAGTTTGATTTCTTTTCAGATTGAGGAACATGGACAAACATTCAACCTTGTCACCCAAGGTGGCTGGCCAGATATTTTGTATGTAAGTGATACCCCAGAGGAGACTAGAGATTAGAGGAACATGACCTGGGATTATTAGAGGATGTAGAGAGATGAAGATGAGAGGGGAAACTGGATCTTTCACATAAATTAAAGACACAGAGAGTTTTCCTGTGTAAAATAAGTGCGAGCAGGGACTGGTGACAGCAAGCATTCATCTGTGGAAATGGGAACTATCTTGATGGTGAACATCCCAGTGCGTACACCTAACCACAGTGTCACATGCTATCCCATAAACACGTGCAACTATAATAATTAAGGAATAAACAGATAAGCATTCACATCAGCATCACCGCTTTCCTTCGGTCCTGCCATCTCAGTGGTTCTTGTGAAGACTTTAATTATTGTCACTAACTTCACCCTTTAGGGACTCAACCTCAAGTTGAGCTTGGAATGAACCCAAGGTGATTTTATTGGACTCATTATGAGATCATTGATTTTTATTGGATTGATGATGAGATTCCCCAGAGCTTTGAAGGCTCTGACACCAGAGACAGAGGAACCTATCACCTTGTAGCTCCTGGTCCTCACTTCCCTGCAGTACTCCTTTTTAGCTTCTCAGGCAGAGGAACCACTGTCTGGCTTTTCCCGTGGAGTGCAGGAGTGCACCAATGCCACCAAGAGCCTGGTTACTTTTGCTAAGTCCACTGTCTTGCACTATTACCCTAGCTAGGAGATCAGGTATGTCACTCACCCTTCAGAAGATGAGGAGTCTGCCCTTGCTTCTTCTGTTCTCCAGACACATTACTGTTGTGGCCTACCCATCCTGCCCATCTGTGTGCACAGAAGCATCCTAAATGCTCAGACTAAAGGTTCTCTGAGCTGGTGGGATTTCAGGCAGAGAAGCTACACCCAGGATCATCGCCTATGAATGGATCCTAGGTAGTCAGAGAGGTCTTGAAGGCGTTGAGATGTTATGGTAGCCTCTAACTCAAGTGAGGGGAGAATAGGTTACCCCAGGGGTTAGCATCCAGGGGAAAGATCCCCTACTAGACTATCCTGACATCTCTAAAAGCTTCCTTCTCCCAGAATGCAGCATCAAGCTCATGCAAGCTGAGATGTGTGGGGTGGTTGTCCAAATATTATCTCAGTCTGTTAGGTTACTATAATAAAATACCAGAGATGGATGACTTATAAACAACAAGAATTTATTCCTCATAGTCCCAGAGTGGGAAGTCTAAAAGCAAAATGCTGGCAGGCTGAGTGTGTGGGGACAGCTTCCTTCAGCCACTTCGTGGCTGAGTTCTGTAACCTAATCACTTTCTCTAGTGCTCACCTCCTAAAACCATATCCTTGAGGGTTAGGCCTTTAAGGTAGGAATCTGGGGGTAGGGACACAAGCATTCTAACTGTGGGAAGTCTCTCGGGCCTCTTTGTAAGGGCAATAGTCCTATTGATCGGGTGTCTGTCCATGAGACCTTATCACTTCATCAAGTCCGCACCTCCTATTACTACCTTGAGGGTTAGGATTTCAACCTAGGAATTCTGGGTGGAGAAAGCATACATTCTGGCTGTGGAAGGTCTCCTGGGCCGCATTGGTGGGGTGATAGTTTCATTGATAAGGTGTGAGCCATGTGATCTTCATCAAATCCTCACCTCCTCAAACCATCCCTTTGGGTGTTAGGATTTCAACCCAGGAATTCTGGATGGAGGACATATGCTTTGAAAAAAACACTACCGAGGGCAAAGGCCTAGTTTACATACTAAGCAAACATGTAGATTTGCCTTGATAAGAGTCAGGAAGCAGTAAGAAAATCAAATTGTTTTTCTTTCGATGGGGCTATATGAACCCAGTCTGGGGCTTCCTCTTCGGTGGCCTTAGCTGCCTCACCACATAGCAAAAGGGACTGTGGTAGGAATCCCGGGTGGATGGACATTTTTATGGCCAAGTGACAGCAAGACAACTTAACCTCCTTGCCCTGGCTGTGGACAGGGAAGAGGGTCGTGAGCTGGTGGAGATCAGATCATTACCTTTCTGAGAGCTCAGGAACATGCAGGACCTATACCAACGACTCTCTATCAGGGTGAAGGGCGATTTCTCCTGGTCTTTGGGCTTTCGGCTCCTCAGGACTTTGCTACACTGGCGAGGGAGAAAAAGATCGTCTCCTGTAGTCTCCCTCCAACTTGTCCAGGGCATTGGGTGAGGGATGAGACTTTGTGCGATCCTGAGGCTGATGATGAAGCAGATGGGAGAATCAGGGATTATAACGAGAGTCAGTCTTACAACCTCTACGCTCCAGGCCTGGTGCAATGCCTTGTCTTTGACTTCTTTCCCTCATCCTCACCTACCAGCTGTCCCACTGCTGCTCAGATAACAGTTGGGTCAAGTTCTAAATGTCATAGCACTGTCTTATGAATAGCCCATGAGGCAATGACCCTAAAAAACTTCCTTTGGGTAAATAAAGATTTCAGTACGTCTTTATTACAGTTCTACTTATGAAATCTTCACTATGGTTGGAAGGTCTATTCCCACCTTGAAATCCTATCCCCCAAGGAGATAGTTTTTGGAGGTAAGGACTTGAGGAAATGATACACTCACAGAGATAGAGACATCCATAACCTAATAAAAACGAATGTTTGCAATTGGCACATCACAGAATCAGGGTTTGACAGGACAGTTCAGTGACCTTTGCCTTCTACTTAATCTGTTGAAAGCACATGTAGAAGTGTGTGGCTTATAGACCCTGGTCACGTGTGGAATCATCTGATTGTCAAGCAAACAAAACCCGTGTGCAGCGCTGGGTGTGTGCCCAGAACTGTGGAGGAACTCACAGGCACTCAGCAGGCTCCTGGTTTGTAGAGAAGACAGAAGCAAAATGAGCACAGCAGGAAAAGTAAGTGAGAAGAGTGTACTGTTGAAAGACATGCTATATATGTATTATATATACAAATATACAAACAAAGGCTTTATGCTATCTAAAGTAGGGCTGAAACATGCTGAACTATAATATACAATCTAAGCTATAATATCTAACATGCTGAACCATAATGGAAACAAACTGTTTCCAAACATCTTTAACAAGAATGTATAAAATCTAGATACCTTAAAGTGTTCAGATTATATTAAATTGGCACTGGAGTGATAGTTTATTCCAAGCTAATTGTGACTACTTTGTGCAACTAAAATTAAAAAGGTCTTTCATCCAAAAAGTGTGCTATTCTTTGTAATCCTATTCTTATGAACACAGGAATATTAAAACTGATAAGTTAGTCTTAAGAGGAATTTAATTCAGAGGACTTAGACATAGCTTCTTAACCTTTTTATGAAAATCATATTGATAAGAATTAGTTGTCAAAGTTAAAGGACAATATTAATATGCAAATTCTGATTGAGAAGGGTCCATTATGACATAATTTGTAACGTTTCCACAGTAATTTAATGCAACAGTATTTTCTCCACACAAAAATGAATGAGATATTGCAGAATATTAATATTAACAAAATTAATATTAATACATGTTTGTTTCTAAATCTGAAACTCATACTTATTCATGTGTTTATGGTTCAGAGAAATGCATGCAGTAGTTTAATATAAGTAACTCTTCATTGCAAAAGTCTATGCCTTTGTTTCTAGTGAATATTTGCTGGAAATATTGTATTTGGGTTGGATCCCTTCGGGCTGGGAAGGTGGCTCAGTGGTAGAGTGTTTGCCTTGCATGCATGAGGCCCTGGGTTCAATTCCTCAGTATCACATAAGCAGAAAAAGCTGGAAGGGGTGCTGTGGCTCAAGTGGTAGAGCATGAGCCTCAAGCTGAAGGGCTCAGGGACAGCCCCCCCCCCCCGGCCCAGAGTTTAAGCCCCACAAAGTAAAAAAATAAAAGCCCATTGGGTTGGGTCCCACAGTATAGTATCTCATTATGGTAACTGTATGGAAAGTTCCTGATGTTTCTCCATGCATGGAGTGACACAGTAATCCCATTTCAATAAAATGCGGTAGCAGTCACAGAATAGCCCATTGCTAGAGCTCTTATTTGATCTCTTTTCATTTTTCTTTCATTGCTTACTGGAACTTATAATGGCATGCTACATTTCCAAAGAGAAGCAGTTAGGAAAAAGGAAAATTAAACTTACTACAATTCAATAGAAGGAAATAGCAAATTCATAGACAAAATAATGTAAAGCAATCCTGTTAATGAAAGTAAAAATAGATGCAATACGCAATAAATCCCCATGTGTGTGAAATCAACAACTCTGCTCTACAATAAACCTTCTTTTATGTGTATACTTTTCTTGCCAGCAAATAATAACTTCACCAGGCATGATGGTACATGCCTGTAATCCCAGCACTCAGGAGGCTCAAGCAAGAGAATCCTGGCTTTGAAGCCAGACTGGGCTATATACCTAGACTCTGTCTCAAAAAATCTAAGGGCTGGAGGTATAGATCCGTGGTAGTGTACTTGACTAATATGTGCAAGGCTCTGGATTCTACTGCCAGCACAACTAAAGGGAATAATAAATGTGACACTTCACATATAAGCCAATAGCCAATAACTAACTTGAAGACAGCTTTAGAAATTTCAGGAATAAATACCTTTAGAGGAGACAATAAATACACATAGGATGGCCCAAACGAGTATGTTTGGCTTTCATCTCAGTGACTTACATTCATGTTATTACCTTATACATTTTAAAAAGGCCTTTTTTGTATTCTCTTTGCAAAGCAGAAAGGTTCATTTCTGCAACATGTGTGTAGATAGCAGATGTGGGCCTGGAGGTGGTGTGTATACAGGAGGAACGAGACAGGCTCTGGCTTCAGGAGTAAGATCCTTCTGTCTGACTTTCCAGGTGATAAAGTGCAAAGCAGCTGTGTTGTGGGACCTTAACAAACCCTTCTCCATTGAGGAGGTGGAAGTTGCGCCTCCAAAAGCCCATGAAGTCCGTATTAAGGTAAAACTGCCTTTTATCGAATTTTTTGTTGATTTGTAGAAAATTGAAAATAGAAACAACCAAGAATCTGTTCAGAGGAACTTCCTATATGGTTATCCAGACAACGAATAATATTTGTTTCTCAAGCAAACTACAAATATATTAATTATTTTTAAAGTGACCTAATAGTATATATTGTATAATCCCAGTAAATGCCTAAAAAATTATATATATATGGAGCTGGGTATCAGTGGCTCACACCTGTAATCCTAGCTACTTAGGAAGCTAGATCCAAAGATTGCAGTTTGAAGTGAGCCCAGGAAAATACTTATCTAAGACTGTTATCTCCAATTAACTAACAAAAAGCCAGAAAATAGGGCATAGTTCAAGTGGTAGAGGCCCAGCCCTAGTGGGAAAATCTGAGTGAAAGCTAGAGACCCTGAGTTTAAGCCCCAGAACTGGCACCAATAAATAAATAATAAATAAATATGTGTTTGTACAAGATTGTAAAAGGCTATATAACATTTTCTTAGTGTTAATCTGCAATCTTTACTTCCATAAAAAAGCAGGAATTCTTTTTTTATTTTTGTACTGTATTCATTGTTTTATTATCATTATTATTAAGTAGTTGTACAAAGGGGTTATAGTGCCATCAGCTTTCTAGTATATACCTAAAACAAGTATTTCAGAACCAGTTCTTTCTCAGGATCAAATAGTCCAAAATGTTAAATTCAGGAAAGGAAGATTATGGATACTCTTGAGAGTAAACTGAATCTTTTGCATTTGAAACAGGTAGGGATAGTCATCAAAAACTCTATAAATGCCTTTCCTAAAATTTGGTATGTTAAATCCGGTCCAGAGTCATAATCTTCTGAGAGCCACAACTTTTCCTTTTTTTTTTTTTTTTTTACTTTTTTTTAATTTTTTTCTTCTCTTTCTTTCTCTATTCTTTACTAATGTATTCCCTCAATTCAATCTGGGCTACCACAAAGACAGACAGAAAGTACAGGGATTATTTGCTTTTGCTTCCTCGTGCAAACCAAAAGAACAACAGCCAGTTGTTCAAGGTCTATCAGAAGATGCAGGCCACGACTTCTCTGGGTGTCATAATCTTCTCTTTAACTGGCAGATCGTGGCCACGGGAATCTGTCGCTCTGATGACCATGTGGTGAGCGGCAGCTTGCACACGCCTCTTCCTGCGATTCTAGGCCACGAGGCAGCTGGCATCGTGGAGAGCATTGGAGAAGGAGTGACTACAGTAAAACCAGGTGCAGAATTCACACCCAGCCTTTATGCTTTTTGATTCAGCATTCTAAGATCATCCAGCTCTGATGAGGGTACTGAGGCAAGGAGACATGCAGAAGTTTGTAGAAGGTCCTGGACAAGCTGAGACTAGAGGCTTCCCTCCTTCCCTTTTCTCCCTGCCTGGCTCCCTGTCTGACTCTCAAGTTGCTGTTTTCCTTTCAAAGCTATTTGTAGCAATGCTAGGCATCAGGTTAGAGACCTAGTACCTGCCAGAGTGGAGTCTATCATGTAATGACTCACAAGATGGTGCACATAGAACCACAAAAGGGTCAGGGGAGAAGATGGAATTCAAAGTCCCCCAGTGTCTAGATCAGAGCAGGGAAACCTGCAGCCAGTTCACAAAAATCAGGCCTGTGAAGCTATGACTAAGTCAACAGGAGCTTTTCTTAGATGAGAATTGAAGCCTCTCCACCGATTTCCTCTGCCAAGAAAGCTTTCCCTCTTAAACAGAAGAGAAATTAAAAAAACTTCATGGAATGAACAGCAGAAAGTATCCAGACCTAAGCAATGCCATTTTTACTGCCTTTAGTTATGACCACAGATGACAAGTTATAAATTTTCTTTTTAACATTTATCTCTCGTTTATTGCATTTTAATATGCTTTCAGTACTGAGAGGTGAATAAGTAGAAGTTTTCCATGCCATCACTCCCTCACAAACTTTATTTATAAGAAGTGATGAGCCAAACATTTTTCTTGTAAGAAAGGAAGCATAAATGATTACAAACAAAAATCATGCTTAACTGTATAAAGATGAATTGGCCAATGGTCAATCTCTCCCCTTTCCAAAGAATTAAACTGTGAACAGAAAATAGAAAAACAGTCTAGTAAGAGTTTCAGCACTTAGTATTTCCTTTTGTTGGTAATAAATAATAAAACACCAGGATTACTTTTAAATTTTACTCTCTATATAGCAGAGAAAGTAAATAACTAACAAATTATCATATAAAGACATTTGGAATTCAGTTCTTATTCTAAGAGCAAACATTATTATGAGGAGTTAAAAGTTTCAAAAGAATTTTATGAATTGTTGACCCACTATTATTAGTTTTCCTTTAAAAAAAAACTCACTCATGCTGGCCTGTAATCCTAGCTACTCTGGAGGCTGAGAACTGAGGATCGCCGTTCAAAGCCAGCCCAGGTAGGAAATTCTGTGAGACTCTTACCTCCAATAAGCCACTAGAAAACCAGAAGTGGAGCTGTGTCTCAAGTGGTAGAGCACTTGCCTTGAGCTAAAGAGCCTGAGGGACAGCGCCCAGGCCCAGAGTTTAAGCCCTAGGACGGACAAAAAACAAACACCTCATATCTTTATTTTAAAAAGCCAAAAATTGGTTATCAAAATTCTCATTTTTATTTTTATCCCTTGGCCAAAGTAGCTTTATTTTTATTGTTAAAAAATGTGTATTACGATTTTTTTCTTTTAGTTTTCATTTAATTGCACAAGATACCAGATTTCTCCCATAGCTAAGTGTAACTACAGCAACTTGCTTGCAACTACTATATATAATATATATACACTACATACGCATATATATGTACTATATATACATTTATACTATATATATACTATATATGGATGGAGAGGATATATATGTGTGTGTGTTATAGATAGCTAGGTAGGTAGGTACATAGGTAGGTAGATAGATGAAAGATAGATGATAGATAGGTAGATAGACAGATAGATGATAGATAGGTAGATAGACAGATAGGTAGACAGACAGACAGACAGACAGACAGACAGACAGACAGACAGACAGACAGACAGACAGATAGATAGATAGATAGATAGATAGATAGATAGATAGATAGATAGATAGATAGATAGATAGATAGATCCTCTTCTCGCCATGAGGTTTAAGGATTAAGTGGAGCGCGTGAGAGCCCCAGGAGAAATCAGGGTGCGCAATAAAAAGGCGTCAATCCAGTGGAAACAAGCTTTCCGATGCGTGTTAGTTTCCGTCTCTGCGTCGCGTCTTTGGGACAGTGGCAGCAGCGCGCCTGCGGAGCGGCCGGCGCGGCTGGGCCGAGCGAGCGAGCGGCTGCTGCGCGAGGCCTGTGCCGCGTAAGCTTTGAAGTTGCTGTTCCCCAACTCCGGGCTGCAAACAGAAGTGTGTTCCGCTCCCCCTGCAGGTGACAAGGTCATCCCGCTCTTCATTCCCCAGTGCGGATCGTGCAGGGTGTGTAAACACCCGGAGAGCAACTTCTGCCAGGTGGCCGAGTAGGTGTCCTGTCTCGGGCGGGGCCGGCCCGGGGCCGGGGGGGGCGGGGGCCGGGACGGGGGACGCGGGGCCGGGACGGGGGACGCGGGGCCGGGACGGGGGACGCGGGGCCGGGACGGGGGACGCGGGGACCGGACGGGGGACGCGGGGCCGGGACGGGGGACGCGGGGCCGGGACGGGGGACGCGGGGACCGGACGGGGGACGCGGGGCCGGGACGGGGGACGCGGGGACCGGACGGGGGCCGGGACGGGGGGGGGGGGGACGCGGGGACGGGACGGGGGACGCGGGGACCGGACGGGGGACGCGGGGCCGGGGGGGCGGGGGCCGGGACGGGGGGGGGGGGACGCGGGGACGGGACGGGGGGCGGGGGCCGGGACGGGGGACGCGGGGACCGGACGGGGGACGCGGGGCCGGGACGGGGGACGCGGGGCCGGGACGGGGGACGCGGGGCCGGGACGGGGGACGCGGGGCCGGGACGGGGGACGCGGGGCCGGGGGGGGGGGGGGGGAGACGCGGGGCCGGGACGGGGGACGCGGGGCCGGGATGGGGGACGCGGGGACGGGGGGGGGGGCCGGGACGGGGGACGCGGGGACAGGGGTGGGGGGGACGCGGGGCCGGGACGGGGGACGCGGGGACGGGGGGGGTGCCGGGACGGGGGACGCGGGGCCGGGACGGGGTACAGGGGCCGGGGGGGGGGGATGCGGGGACGGGGCGCGGGCCAGCGGCCGGTCACGTCCTCGGCATCCTTTCCCTGTCCAGTCTGAGTGAGCCGCGGGGGACCCTGGTGGAAGGCACCTGCAGATTCACCTGCCGGGGGAAGCCGATCCACCACTTCCTGGGCACCAGCACCTTCTCCGAGTACACGGTGGTGGACGAGATCTCGGTGGCGGCGATCGACGCCGCCTCGCCGCTGGAGAAGGTCTGCCTCATCGGCTGCGGGTTCTCCACGGGCTACGGCTCCGCAGTGAACGTCGGCAAGGTAGGGTGACCACGCCACGCGGGACCCCGGAGCCAGCCGGCTCTAAGAGGAGTCGGAGATTGCGTTCACAGGGTCCGCTGGGAATCGAAAAGCCGCCCCAGGCAGCATTCCAGAAAACTCACCTGTGGGTGACCTATGAAAGAACTGTGGAAAGGTAGCTAGGAGTTTGTTCCAGAGGCTAAGATCTGAGGATCACAGTTCAAAGCCAGGCCCACACAGGACCATCCATGAGATTCGTCTCTCCAATTAACTACCCAAAAAGCCAGATGTGGAGCTGTGACTCACGTATAGAGCAGCTGCCCGGAGCGAAAAAGCTAAGGGGCAGCACCCGAGTCCTGGGTTCAAGCCCCACTAGAGGCCCACATGAATGTAAAAAGCAAAAACAAAAACAAAATAAAACCCAGCCACTAGGACTGAACTCATTAAACAGCCTCTCTCCAATAGAAAGCACACGGAACATGTCTCTTTCAATTTCTGTGAGGTTAGCCCAAAATGCAGTTAATCTTTGTGCAGTTTTATCTGTTTTGACAGGTAGTCTGAATAAACCTACTTACAAACAAGTAGCCAAGAGTACTCAGAATGGCTTTATTTATTATTATAATACAGATCAACTTTTGGTTGCAACACTCTTCAATTGTTCATTTTAAAAATCAGGGATAAACTGGATGTAGTAACACATACCTGTTATTGCAGTGCTTGGATCTGAGGTGAGAGGATCACAAGGCCAACTTGGATTTCAAAAGGTATCAGGGCTGAAAAAACATACAAAGACCTCATTGGTCCTGTTTCATTATCTTTGTTTCATGCTGAATTTCCCCCATCTTTCCGGCTTTGCATGAAGTAAATGGTAACTCCTGGATGCTTCACAGATAATTTCTGTACTGCTCGTGACTGCTAAAAGTCGTGACTGCTAAAACTTAGAATGTAATTACTAATAACGTGATTGAATTACTTTTCAGTATCCTGGATTGGCTTTGAACAGTGATCCTCAGATCTCAGCCTCCTGAGTAGCTGGAATTATAGGTCTGTGCCATCCATGCCAGACCAAAAGCAATTTTTGAGACATGAAATAACTGGACAAAGCCACTCAAAATGAGGAAAACCCTCAAAATGCTCCCTAATTAACCACCAAAAAAGAAGAAGAAAAGAAGAAGAGAAGAAGAAGAAGAGAGAAAAGGCAGAAGTTGAGCAGAGACTGAAGTAGTAGAGTGCTAGGCTTGAGCAAAACAGCTCAGGTACAGCACCCAGGTTCTAAGTTCAAACCCCCAGACTGGCAAAATTGCTTTTCATATGTATATGACACCAAAGCAATTTGTACAAGATATTAAAGCTTAAATAAACCTACAGAAAATGTCATCAAGATTAGAGTTGCCCATATTTAGAGCTCAAAGATAACCCAGTGATTCTCACATCAGAAGGCCCTGGAAACTGTATTCTTCTTGCAAAGATTCTGATTTAATTGATGTGAGCTGTGACCTGACATGAGCTTTGTAATCATAAGCCTTAAAAAAATGGAAGTAAGTATAGCTAAAAGAGGTTTGAATTAGCCCCTAGTAGCACACTTAATCATGGTATTAAGTAGACACTTTGTACCTCCTGGGCATTTTCTAGCAATCACTGTTTGGTCTATTTTTTGCATTTTGTGAAAACACAGGTCGCTCGGGGGTCCATCTGTGCTGTGTTTGGCCTGGGAGGGGTTGGTCTGTCTGTTGTCATTGGCTGTAAAGCAGCGGGCGCAGCCAGGATCATTGCAGTAGACATCAACAAGGACAAGTTTGCAAAGGCCAAAGAGTTAGGTGCCACTGAGTGCATCAACCCCCAAGACTATGACAAACCCATCCATGAAGTGCTACACGAAATGACTGACGGAGGTGTGGATTTCTCCTTTGAAGTCATCGGTCGGCTTGACACCATGGTACGTCCTCCGACATCCTTGAGATTTCTGCTTCTTCTATCTAGGTGGTAGGGGACAAAAAGCTTATGTATAAACATTTTTCTTAGAATGGCAACTTTCCATCTCCTGTTTGTTATTTAGATTGTTTAATATATTGCTATGAGAAATCTTTCGCTTTATCAGGTAACAAACCTGTCTCAAGTAGTATTTTTTCCCTTGATGGGGAAAGGATTGCTTTTTATTCAGCCATTAAAAATCAGTTTTCAGTTAAAATAATTCAAGTTAAACTATAAGTAATGCAAACTCTGTCCTTAAATTGGCCTGTTTGACTTTCCTCAACACCCTTAAATACTTAAACAAGTTTTCATGTTTTCTTCACATTGTTTTCTCACATATCACCATCTCTCCAAAAGATAAAATATTGAGCAATCTAGAGCTAAATGTAATTTTATTAACAGAAAATGTGCCCTAAACAGTGGCTGCTTTGCTTTAGTGTATCACTGTACATTACCACAACGGTTCAACTCCAGACACATAGCAGTCACCCAGTGCCTATGTATTGAAGTGAATACTGTAAAAACTAAAAAGTCAACAGATTGTGCTCCTCATATATCTCCTGTATACCTCATGCACTCTTTATGGATTACATGAGATAATGCATGTGACATTCTTACCACAGTGTCACCTGTCATGTAGTAAGCTCTCAATGAATGCCAGCTGGTGTTAATGATGTAAAAAATACAACTCCCAAGCTTTCATCGCTTGCATTTTTTTAAATATACAAGATACTACTTTCTAGTAAATACAAATGTTATTCATTATCTCTTAGCCATATTTTACTTCACCTGAGTTCCCTAGCATTTGCTGAAAATTGTCCCCAGAGCCAACACATTCCCTGCCAATAAATCTTGGCAATGTTGTAACAGGGAACTCTAATCTGAGAGCAAAGTTCTCTCAGTGTTAACGTGGAAAATTGTGCCACACAGGTGAGGACCTTCCAAGAGAATCCAACTTGTTCCAAAGCTACAGCTTTTCTCATTCGCTATCTTCCCTGTTCCCTCATGTAGAACTGGACTGTCACTTTATTTGAAAATGCCAAGAGTCTGATAGCTACATATGCTGAGGATAGCTGATCTTCTAAGTGTAATACTTCAAAATTAGAAGGCTTATCACTATATATTCTAGAAAATTCGGAGCCATTTTCACCATAAACTATGTCCAAAAATGACTGGAGCAAAAAGCTTTCTGGGCTATTTTGTGACAGGATGATAGGTAAGGTTAAAGTAAAACCAATGCACATTTTGGCTAGTGGATAAGGTAACTTGAAACACATGCATCTTAGACATGGACAGTAGAACAAAGATCTCTTAAGAGATGTATTACCAATTGGATGAAAGACCAGTTCTCATGATGTAATCATCACGTTATGTTCACTACCAAAATACTTGGTTCCAACCGAGTACTGGGTTCAAATTACCTACTTAAATAGATAAATGAAAAATCAAATGAACCAACTTATAGATGCCTTGCTACGCATGAAAAACAGTATCCTTTGCGGAGGATAGGGACTGCATGCATCTATAATGATACTGACCTCTTTGTCAGTTTCTACAGAAGAATTAGATACACAAAAATTCATTCTATGGTTTTTCATTGAAAAAAAAATGCTCTGGGGGCATTTCTTAAAGCCACAGAAGTTTCCTAGGCACAATGAAGAAGGAAGAATAATGTGCTTCCTTCCACACAGTTAAAATCAATATGACATGATGCTTTATGTTATGGGTAGGAGCTAAGAGAATCTACTTCAAGAATGCTAAAAGCTACTTTGACTCCAGGTTGCTGCTCTGCTCTGCTGTCAAAATTCACATGGTGTGAGTGTCATTGTAGGGGTGCCTCCTAATGCCCAAAGCCTCTCAATGAACCCCATGGCGCTGCTCGGTGGACGCACCTGGAAGGGAGCTCTATTTGGTGGTAAGTAGTCAGACCTGAGACCCAAATTTCTGTTCACCGCAGCATTTCTTCCCTTTTTTTTTCTTTTGTTAAATGGTTCCTGACACAGGTAGTAGGTATATTTTATTCCTAGTTCCCATGAGTGGTATGCACACATTTACCTGTTTCTGGAATATATGGAGTCTAGTAGAAACAGCTTTCCAGGCCCCAAACAGGAGGTGGCAGCATACACCCTGCTTTCCACTATGGCACCTGCAGAATCCTCCCTGCGCACTCAGTGCCAGTAATGCGTGATTCCTTTCTCTTCACACCCATTCAGAAGCTGTGGCGCTGTGGCTCAAGCGGTAGAGCGCTTGCCTTGAGCTGAAGAGCTGAGGGACAGTGCCCAGGCCCAAAGTTCAAGCCCCACAACTGACCCCCCCCCAAAAAAAGAGTTCTCCTCATTTCTTCCCTTTTACAAGAAATAAGATCAGACAGAATTTGAAAAGCAATGGTCAGAAAATAAATAAAACTTCCTGTTGGACTTTAAGGTCCAAATCAGCTAAATGTAGGGAGAAAATGCAGAGAGAAAGTCCCAAGACAGACTTCCTTGCTTCCCCATAAACAAACCAGGATCTTATGGTATCAGCTGGTTTTCCCTGCCGGCTACAGAAGGTACCAGAATTCCTAGTAGGACAGTAAGTCATGTCTACAGCAGTAATTCACAAGGACACTAGTTTATTGGAGTTGACTAGTTTGTAGTTTATAGTTGACTAAAGTCAAAAGACTGCAAAAGGCTTTTGAAGCACTCTCTGGTTGATCGTGATAATAGCAGTCTATGGAATGATGTAATTTCTATAAACTATCTTTTTTATTTTATTGGAGATTCTCTTGTCTGATTCTCCTGCTTCCTCCTGCAGGAATCTAACAATGATCTCATCTTCTTTTCAGGTTATAAGAGTAAAGATGCTGTCCCCAAACTTGTGGCTGATTTCATGGCTAAGAAGTTTCCATTGGAACCATTAATAACCAACGTTTTTCCTTTTGCAAAAATAAACGAAGGATTTGACCTCCTTCGCGCTGGAAAGAGGTAAGTTTTGAGTTTCTTTTTGTGATCAACGATTGACTAACAGAATGGAAAAGGAGACAGTTGAGGGAGGGGAAATTAAATGTCCTGGTTTTCCATTGCCAGTTCAGTCTGTACATGAAGACCATTCAGAAATCACATTGTGAGAGATAAGAATAGTCAATTTATATTTCCTCTCCTGCTGAACTACATTGCTTACAGCAAACATGAATAATCAGAGCTATTTAGCATGCCTTATAAGAGAGTACCTTTGCCAGAGAAGGCATCAGAGTTCTACAACCATAATTAAGATATGTAGTTATGGAAGCCTCTTCCATGACACTGAAGGCTGACTGTTAATGACTGTAGATTAAATTATATGTAGAAAATACCCAATATTTTTTTTATTATAGAAGCAGGTACAACTTCATGCAAGATTAATTTCTATATAGATACCACGAAACTTTCTTTTAAAATACTATTCTTATTTCTTTCCACAGTTGACAAAGACCTTTTCTTAAATAAAAGTTATGGTAAAGAAGAAGGATGCAAAATGCTAGTTAAAATGTTTACATGTGTGGGCTGGGAATGTGGCTTAGTGTTAGAGTGCTTGCCTAGCATGCATGAAGCTCTTGAATCAATTCCTCAGGACCACATAAATAGAAAAAGGCAGAAGTGGTATTGTAACTGAAGTACTAGCTTTGAGCCAAAGAAGCTCAGGGACAGTGCCCAGCCCCTAAGTTCAAGTCCCAGGACTGGCAAAAAACAATAAAATGTTTACATTTATATTTTTACAAATATTAGAAAAGGAAAGTCAATCCATTTCTCACCCCCTAACAAGCACCTAACAGGGTGATTGTTGATCGGTCACATCTAGAACAGACACAACTATTGACTTCTTTCTAATTCTGTTGTTGCATTTTCTGTTACCCCACATTTCTTCTCATAGGTTTTCAACTTTAAATATTATTTCTTACAGACTCACATGTAAAATATGGCATTAGATACTTCACTGACAAATAGTCTTGCGGAAGAAAAGAAAGCAGCATCCACACAGCACCTGCTGTTCTGCTCATCCAGAGCATTGTGCCTTCCCTAATGCAATTCTGAATCTGTGCTGCCAGGCAGGGCCCAGTTTCACATCCTCTGACTTTGAGAAATGAAGGCCCTTACTCCCTTCTTTACCCCATAGCCGGCAGGGAGTAACCAGACAAGCCCTTTCTCTTGTTTCTTATGCTTTGCCAGAGTCAGGAATGATGGAAAGTGACAACTGAAAGCACTCAGCTTGCCCCTTTCTGCTCTTCCGTTTTTCTAGCATGTAGCAAATGAGTGTGAATTGTGTCAAAGTTAACACCACATCTCTTATCTCCTCTTTCAGTATTCGCACAGTTCTGACATTCTGAAACCATTCAGATGCTTTCCCTGGAAGCCAGCCTCTGACTCCTCCTTCTCAGCGCACCTGGAGCACCGGCCTGCCACGGGGCATCATCAGTTCTGTTCCTTAGAGGTGCCATCAGTAAATCACTTGCACAAGCTTTCCAAAAGAAACCAAAATTCCTCTCAAGTTGATTTTCAATTAAGTGCTTAGAATCCAAGCAAGAGCTAATGAAGAGCAGCTGAAAACAAATGAACCTACTTAAGTTTTCCCTCTTACTTGCTGTACTTACACAGCCTATCCTTTTCCTTATGCACAAGAAAAGATACTTCTTGTGCCTTCCTGCAAGTTTATTTTATTTCATTATCTTTTAAGCCATCAATCATTGAAACCCAGGGAAGGGGATCTTCTTTCCTGGATTTACCCATTCCAGGGCTTGAAGTGCTACCTCTGTCTCTGTCTCCACTGTCCCTCTTCGTCTCTTCTGTCACTGTGTGTGTCTCCCTTTCTCTCTCACCCCCATGGTGCTAGTGTTTGAACTCAGGGCCTTGTATTTGCTAGGCACTATATTTTCCTTTTTATAAGCTGTGGAAGATAAATTTAGCTTATAAACTTACAAGTAACTAAGTCGGGTCGTATGCAATTGTATACAAATACCTTAACCAAAATATAGTAGACACAAAAAAGAACTCAAATAGTGTAGTTTCTTAGAAAAGTAAAAATCAAAGTTCAGCACAATAAAACACCAGGAAATGGGTGCTCAAAAGGGGTGGGAACAGTGGGTGGATACATTCATATTTAATGTATGTATATGAAAAAGGAAGTGAGAAAGTTGATGTGACTGACAGGTGGGAGAGGGGGAAATGGCGGAAGCAGTGATTCCAGTCGAGATGCGCTGGACACAGAACTGGACACGTTAAATTGTAACTCCTTGTATAACCATTTCAAGATTCTTAAAAAACATTTCAAAAAACAAATTAAAAAAAAAGAAGTTGAAAGAAATAGTCCGTGAAATGGACTATTGCAGGAGCTGTTATTAATATGCCCAGAGGGAAAAGATGATATTATGTGCATGAATAAGAACATGATGTCATCTTTTAAAAATGTTTTTGGGAGTTAAAAATGATCATTTCCAGAATGGAACTGCAATAAACACATAAAAGATCGGAATAAATCTACCTCCCTTGAAGTACCACAGAAACTGACCAATTAAGTTAAAGGACCCTATGGGGGTAGAGAAAGGCTATGGTCTTTCTCTGGACAGAATGAAGGAGTTCTCTAGGACGAGGATGGAAACGCTCCAGGATGACAGGGTGACCACCTGCAAGGCACATGCTGTCACACTGGAGAAACGCAAACTAAAATTCCAATATCTGTACCAACTCTTAGCTGAACACATGCTGTGTCTTCACCACCTTAGCTGGGGGAAAATGACATGCTGTAGAAAATGTGTTACAAAATTTGAAAAGTAAGAGATGTGACAGACTTACTTCTTTTTTTTTCTTTTCTTATTTTTTATTGTGAACATACTGTACAGAGGGGTTACAATTACATGGGCAAGATAATGAGTACATTTCTTATCAAGCATTGTAGCCTCCTACTTTGTTTCCCCTTCCCATCCCATCCTCCCCCTGTCCCCCCCACCCAACCCTCCCCCCCCCCACCAAAGTTGTAAAGTTCGTTTTCGACATACGACTTGTATGTCTCATTGTTGCAATGGGTCCACCTGTATCCCTATTTAAACGATTTGTTTTTTTCCCTTCCCCTCCACAAATTATAACAACATCAAATACAGTGAGTCAAGCAGAAAAGGTCAGATAAGTTGATGTTAGGGAAATGAACCCTAAGATATGTATTCAATGCTATTGTTTCTAACACATTTATAAGATTATTTCTTTGTTGCTTTGTATATCCCTCTCCCATGGTATAACCCCTGCTTTCACTGACAGACTTACTTCTAAAAAATGGGGATAACGAGAGGGCCTACATCATGTAGTTTTTTGTGAGGTTTAAGTAAATTGTTAAGTGGAAAGTTATAATAGGATCTGGCACAGATGAAGAAACCAGACTCTTAGTTGTCATGATTAATATTAGTATTTGAATAAACCAGCTTTCTGTTGCTATAGCAAACATCTGAGCTAAGCAATATACAAAGAAATGGTTCAGGGGCTGGGAAGGTGGCTCAGTGGTAGAGCTTTTGCCTTGCATGCACGAGGCCCTGGGTTCGATTCCTCAGCACCACATAAGCAAAAAGAAAAAAGCCGGAAGTGGTGCTGTGGCTCGAGTGGTAGAGCACTAGCCTTGAGCTGAAGAGCTGAGGGACAGCGCCCAGGCCGAGTTCAGGCCCCACGACCGGACCCCCCCCCCAAAAAAAAGAAATGGTTCATTGAGGCTCGTCATGATCCATTGGCCATGATCATGGCAGAAGGTTGTGGTGAGAAATCTGAAGAGAGAGAGAGACAGAGAGGTACGAGGGAGGGAGAGGGAAGAGGAATAGAGAGAGACAAGCAGAAGGAGGAAAGGATAAAGTCTTATAATCCTCTACAGGCACACTCTCAATGACTTAAAGTTTTCTCCTTACGCCCCACCTCTCAAAGTTTCCGCCATCTTCCAGTTTTGCCAAGCTGGAAGCAATGCCTTTAATGCATAAGCACATTTCAGATCCAAATTATAACATTATTTATCAGGTAGGTTATTAAACTCTAGACTTATGCTTCTTGAGGAATTGGCTCCATCATTCGATGTGTAACCTTGGGAAATTCACCTAAGTAAAGCAAAGATTGCATAAACCTAACAAAGCCAGAACCCCCTAAGTGTTAGATATGAATTTATAGGGTTGCAAAAGTAACAATGCATTGACATACATTCTTAGAGTATATTCGTTGTACAAATTGGTTTCTTAATGCTATTTCCACATGTGTATAAAATATACATTGATCGTATTTATCCCTTCTGTGACTCCTTATTATTTCCCCCTCCGTTTTCCTTACAATTTTAATGGGTAAAAATTGTATTTAAAATTTTTTTTTGTCGGTCATGAAGCTGGAACTCTGGGCCTGGGCACTGTTCCTCAGCTATTCAGCTAAAGGCTAGCATTCTACCACTTGAGCCACAGCACCACTTCTGGCTTTTTCTGCTTATGTGGTACCGAGGAATTGAACCAGGGCCTCAGGCATGCAAGGCAAGCGCTCTACCACTGAGCCAGCTTCCCAGCCCCATATTTTAAAATTTTTGAAAAGAAGAAAACAATAGCTCAAAATTTCTTTTAGCTTTCATTTGTTTGAATATTATGCCAACTGTGGCATTTGAATTACTTTCTATATTTGGAGGCACTCTAAACATTTAGTTTTTCCACATCGTTTTGGTAATTAAGTTTTAGAGCATATGCCAAGCATATTGACTGAACAATTTAAAATAAATCACCAAAATATTTGTGGAACATTTTGATGATTTATAGTTTGGCTGTCAGGAAACAATGGAATGAACATCTTCTTTGGCTTTGGATTTCAACTTCCATGATTTCCTCTGACCCTTCTCTGGGGAATGTAAGCAAACGTTCTGTTCGTTTGCTCATAATCTTCCTGGCAAGGTTGCAGCTCCAAGGCTACAGCAAGGTCAACAAGGACCTAGCATCCTCAAATCAGAATGAAAGACTGATTGAATAACCATGCTGCAGGAACTTAAAACCTCAGTCCAGAGCTCTATTTACAATCACTGAATTATTCTAAAATCTGCACCTTATCCTTCAAAGTGCTCCAAAGTTCTCAGACCATGCACAAATAAGAAATGATGCCATCTTCCATGTTAGCAAGTTTTAAATTACTAATCTCATTCATTTCCAATTAATTTAATCCCCAAAATGAAGGATTTGAATGGAAGATGACTTCTGTAGGTCACAATAATACTTCTCTGGTCCTTGTAGATCATGAGGCCCTGGGAGAAAAGCAAGCAGCCATGTCTCTTGACTTGGTTTTGCCTTCGGAGGCTTTGGAGTCAAATCTCAAACCTGTTTGTTGTTAGTTGCATAATTATATTTGCGATGCCAATTCTTGGCTTCCTGCTAGTCTTTGCATACTTTTTTATATCATCAATTAAAAAACTAATACATCTTATATGCAAAAATCATCAAATAAGGGCTATAGGCATTCTGACCTCCATGTCTGAACGCAGCATGGAAAGTTCCTTTAATTCTATGAACCAGAGTGATTAAATTGGGCCCAAGGTAGTCTCCCCATCTCAAGATTTTTGGCTTAACCACATCTCCTTTGTCATAAAAGCAACACACTAACAGGTTCCATGGATTAGGAATGAATATTACCCTGCCTACCACAGTAGTGATCTCTGACCCAAAACGAGCCAATCATATCTTCTCTTTGGATCATGTGAATATAGAAGGTATTCTTGAATATAGATGCTACATACAATTGCATTGACTTTCACAGAAAGACAGACACAGAGAACCAGGCTCAGAGAATGGTTATTGGGGAGTGATGCCAATGACCCTTAAAAATTAATAAGGTTACCTTTGGGCATTGAAGATTTTGTGGTTGTCATGGTCTTCTGATTCTGTAATGTTAACACGTTGCCATGTGTTTCCTGCTTATTCTTCTGTTTCATCTAAACTTCTAAAAGGTGGGACATGGAACAAGAGAAGTGAACTTGTCAAAGAGTATATAGAAAGACCAACTAGTTCTTGAATTTGTCCAAATTGTTATACTGTTCAGGGAACCAGGTGCTTTGTTGAGTGGTTGAAAATTCCTAAGTACCAGGGTTCCAAACTCTTCTTCTGGAACTTGAAAACCAAGTGATGGTGGCTGCAGTTCCTCAAATTACTTCTTCAGGAATGGAAGAAGAGTAATAAACAGAAAAAAAAAAAAACATGAAAGAGTATCAAGACCAAGAATTTACTCAAGATGCTTTTTCCATGCTGTGGTTTTAGCTATATCTCTCCATTCCAGCTCATCTTTTTCAATACCTCCTAATAAAATATCTTCCCTTCAGGGTTTTTTTTTTCTTCTGACTCTCAGAGAAGCCTTTCCTTCAATTTGAAATAAGAAGACTGGGTCACTTTGTTTTCACAGTCATCCTGGTGCCTTGCTGGGTGGATGTAGAGAATGTAGTTGGGAGGGGCAGTGAGACCTTCAGTCCACAGTGAAAATGTAAAAGATTTTATTGAGCAAAAGTGCTGACATGCCAGGACCACACCTGGAGTCGAGATTCCAGGAAATGGCCCCAAGTGCCAGCCAACAGCAGCTTTTAAGCATTTTGGGCTAGGGTGGGGAAAGGGGGAGGTTGGGTGTTGGTTTTAGTCAATGATTGTTACAAGAAATTTGCACTTTAAATTTCCCGCCAAGGTTTTGCTGGCAGGAAGCAGGGGAATAGAACGAAGGATGGTGATGGTTCAGCTGGCTTAGGGCTCACATTGTTCAGAAAACAGCAGAAGCAGAGTTACAGAGTTACAGGGTTACAGAGTTACACTTACAGTTACTAGCTAAAATAGCTAATTACCAGGGAAGTCTTATCTACAGCACACTTACATTTATATCTTAAAATCATTCATTACCCATTTTACACGATCCAAGTCAAATATTATATTCCATCTTTACCTCTTCCACCATATCAAGAACTCTGGAGCCCAGCTGTGAGACCTGGAAAGGGCTAAAAGGTGGGAATACCATCTCCACAAAGCATTCAGAAGGACCACCCCTCCCTTCCCCACTCCCCTGAAAAGATCAAACAGTCTAGGCTCAAGTTTCTACCCTAAGTGTGGGCTGCTCTGGCACCAAAAGTCTGAGACCCTGGGGGTAAGACAAAAGTCTGTGCTAATGTTGAAGTGTTTACTCCTTCCTTCCACTTCCTAAGATAAGGAAGTCAGTTATCTCTTGTATACAAAACCATGTCATATGTTGGTGATTGTAACTTCAAAGATACTGATACCCTTATTTCCTGCACAGGTGTAGTCACCTCCCCTGTACTGAAATGATTTTAAAACAAACTTGTTAACGGATCTCAGGACTCAAGCCGCCGGAGATGAGCTTTGGGTCTCCTGGTGCCCTCCATTTCCTATCTCCTCTTATATCCCAGTATCCCATCATCTCTGTTGCTCCTGGTGCTGTTGTCCTGATAACAGGTGTAGGGGGCTTTTCACCCAGCTCTGAAAGGCCTAGAGGTGAGAGGCCATTCATTGACTTGCACCTGTCATGCTGCTTAGGCCCAGGAGAGCTTTGCTACAGAGAACATTTGCCTCTGACCGTTTCCCTAAATGGCTTGATTTGCTCCTCACTCAGTGTTGCTCTAATATGGAAACAGACCCCTGAGATACTTCTCTAGGTGTGATTTTTGTCTTTAAAAGCTTTGTGCAAGCTCCGTTCTTAGATGTAGTATCCTGGCTCCTACAAATATATCCACTGATTCAGATAAAAAAAGGCAAGGAGTCTTTATAAGCCTCAGTAACTATGTCCTACTCACGGGTAGTGAAGCATAGCAATCACACTCCCTCACATCGTGACTTATATAGCCAAGAGGCCATGTGCTGGTGGGAATGTACAGAAAATGCCACACCCAGGTGGCCTGTGTACATGACAAATAGCAGTTTCCAATAAAACAAAAGGCAGCCCAAAACATCCTGCTTACTATAACACCTTTCACACCTCCCAAGCTTCCTGGTTACCATAACACCTTTCACACCTCCCAAAAAACATCCTATTTTTTTTTAAATCCTATTTACTAAGTCTAAGGCCAAAGTTTCCTATTTACTAAGACACCTTTCACACCTCCCAAGTTCCCTAATTACCAAGTCTAAGGCCAAACAACCTGCTGGGTTTCTGGGCTTTTTCTGAGTTCTGCTACATTTCAGTAACCTGATGTTTAACTTGTTTATTATTTCATTCTTTACTTGGGTCTTTACCTCTGGAATTTCCCTTTAATGTCCTGTCCTATTTTGTAATAATTAATAATTTTGTTCCATCTCTGATTTCACATTTTACAGCAGGTCTTTGAGACAGGAGTCCACCTACAGCTGCCGACTTTCTAGTAATGACTCCCAATTCGGCCTCTCAAGATGTAGCTTCTCTGTTTCTCACAACTGAATTTCCATACAACAAATTTAGCCAAAACTATCTGATCCCTAACTCTGGGTCCGGCCCTGAGTGAAGTGCTGGGAATGCACCAGGACAGTACAGGGAACATCATCTCCTTTGGTGTTAGACTCTATATGCTCCAACTGTCCCTTAGCACTGGCCACTTCCTACCTCATGTGAAGGGCCTCTGTCTTTCCTTCTGACCACTGTCAACCCATGCTGACCAACAGCTCTTTGAAGAGGAGATAATGCTGTACCTGCTGGATGATAAGATTCCCGTTGCACAGTGACTGTCCTAACATAATGGAGCACAAGAAGTCAACTATTACTCACTAAACACCTGTTGTATACCTGATACTAGGTACAGGTGAGACTGAAATAGTAATGAAACTTAAGAAGACCTTCCCCAGCCAGAAATTTCCTGTCAAGTTTAAGAGAGAATGATCTCCTCATATATACAAAGGCCAACAAGAGAAACTAAATTTTAAATATCACAAGAAGAAAAGCAAAATAGTGTGAACCAAAGTACATTTTTTCTCTTGTATTTCTTTTCAACAGAGTGAGATAACATCAGATAAAAGTCAACCTTGACTGAACCTCACACTATACAAAAATAAACCTGAAACACATACACACACACACACACACACACACACACACACACACACACACACACACAAATACAGATGATGAAGTTTCTTTAAAAAAGCATTGAGAAATATATTTATGATCATGATAGGAAGTTCTAGAGTATTTAGATAGGACTACTAGGTAAATAGAAAATATGGTCATCTCTGGGGTTAAACACTTCTAATCTCCAAAAGAAAAATGAAATAGAGTTCTGGGGCCGGGCTTCCCAGAGTGGCATTCGGTTCCCAGGTTGGGGTCCAGGTGTCCTACTGAACTAGGCCCTGAGAGGAGACTGGAGCTGGGACTGCTTCCTTACAGGTTTTGTTTTTGTTTTAGGGATTATAGAAAAAAAACAAAAACCTTGGCTCCAACCAGCCCAGTTCTTGGAATGAAAAGAATGCCTCTAGGTCCCCCTGTCCTTAACGACTTGACCCACCTTCATTGTTCTGTTAAGGACTGACCAACTAAACAGTTAGCCGGTAATCCAGCTCATGCTGGCCTGCTGGCCACATCCTGAGTTTACTATAAACTCCGCCTTTTCACATGTATATGTTAAACTCCACTAAACTCCTTTGTGTATGTTTACCTTAAGACCACTTTACCACTGAATTTGTGAGTCATTTAAACCCAAAATGATAGGCTGGTTTAAACAGCCATTATGTGACAAAGTGTAACCTCGCTGGCCACCTGGGTGTGGTCTGGTATGACTGTGCAATCTTTTGGGTGTGTGACAATCTCATTGGTCGCCTACGTGACCAGGCTTCACCTTGTGATTTTTGCCAATAAAAACCTAAGCATGTGGGCTGCTTGGGGGTCGCAGTATCAGCTCCCGAGCCTGTGCTGCGGCCCTGGCCGGTCAGTGTAGGAACCTTCTCAATAAAGTTGCTTCTTTAATATCAACTTTGTTGCCGTGGGCTCTGTCACTCCGGACGACTAGGTGGGCTTGCCTGCCTGAGTAGGAGTCTTCCTACTACACTACATCCACGGCCAGCCGGTCACCGCCATGGTGCAACGAGTTGAAATTCACAAGCTATGCCAAGGTGAGAACTTAATCCTTGGCTTCAGCATCAGAGGTGGGATTAACCAGGATCCCTCCCAGAATCCCTCCTCAGAAGATAAGACAGACAAGGGCATTTATGTCACACGTGTATCTGAGGGAGGTCCTGGGGAAATTGCTGGGTTACAGATTGGAGACAAGATCATCCAGGGAAATGGCTGGGACATGACCATGGTGACACATGACCAGGCCCAGAAGCGGCTCACCAAGCGCTCAGAAGAAGTGGTGTGTCTGCTGGTGACAAGGCAGTCGTTGCAGAAGGCCGTGCAGCAGTCCATGTGTCCTAGCAGCTTGCCCTGACTCATACCTGTCTGCCTATTTGTACAGTGACCACTACCATGCTCTGCCTACTTCCTGGCTTCTGTATGCTGGGCCTCAGCTCAGAAGGGTGACAGCTGATCCCAGGCTGAGCCAGCCTCCCTTCCCCTCTTACCCCAAGTCTGAGGCCTGGTAGCAGCAGTATCCCTTGGAAACTGAGGATTGGAAACCAGGGCCTGAAGTTGAGTAGTTGTGGGTCTGCAGTGACTAGATTCAGTCCTCAGCCCTGCTGCCTGCCCACAGCAGTGCCCAGGTGAACAGGAACACCTGACAGTTGCCAAAGCTAGGAAATGCCAGGTGTGGCCACTTTTCTGTTTGTTCTGGGTACAGAACTTGGCCCTGCCTTGTTACTACCACAATGTCTGTGCTGCATGTTTCCTGGGCACCACACTGCTCCCCACATGCCCAGCTAGGGTCTAAACTCACACAGAACCAGAGCTACTTAACCTCCTCTCCTGTAGGTGCTGGCCTGGGGTGGGGTCTGCTCACAGGACTGCCACAGGATTGCCACGTTTCTCTTCACCTGTGGGTTTAACTTTTGCATTTTTTAAATACAAAGTGTTTTTATCTTACCATTTGGAAAATGCCAGTTTCACTTTTGAATGTAGCTTAATAATTCACATCTGGGAGCAACTCCTCTTAGCACACAGGAACAAGCCTTCACTTGGTTGATGTGGAAATGGGGCAATATGATGCTGTCCCACACTTGACATCTTGTGCTCAATAAAGGATGAAATTTTTTAAAAAATGAAATAGAAATATTAGGTTGAGAGTCAAAAATCATAATTTAGATGCTTAAAGACCTGTAATTTGAAAATGTAACTATATTAGTAGTGTAGAATCCCGGCTCCTACAATTATATTTCCAGCAAATATATCCACTGACTCAGATAAAAAGGGCAAGGAGTCTTTATTAGCAGCACAACAACAGATCCCAATCATCAGGTAGTGAAGCATAGTGGTCAAGCTTTCTCACAGCATGGCTTATAAAGGAAAGAGGCCACACACAGATGGCAGTATGTGTGACAGAGCCACACGTAGGTGGCAATGTACATGACAGAAACAGTCAATAATCACAAATGGAAATTTCTTGTAAACAAAGCAATAAGTCAGAAGCAAAGACCACATTCCAGATTTTTCCTTTGTTAGGGGTTTAACTGTTATTTAACAAAACACATCCCAAGCTTCCTATTTACAGAAAAAAATACATTTCAAACGTATTTCACACATCCTAAACTTCTTGTTTACTAAAACACATTTACCACATCCTAAGCTTCTTATTTACCAAGTCTAAGGCCAAATCATCTTCCATGTTTCCAAGTTTTTCCTGAATTCTGCTGTTATTTACTATATTTCAGTAAGTTGATGTTTAACTTGTTTAACTTACAGTTTCTCTCTACAAAGAGGTTCTGCCTTCAATTCTTTGTCCCATTTTTAATAATCAATGATTTTGTTCTGTCTCTGATTTTGCATTTTACAATCAGTACAATTTAAAGTTAGGTAATTCATAAGGAAATGGAAAAACCTGAAAAAAATATATTAAGCAAAGTAAGCAATACCAAAGAAACATAGGGTTCATGATCTCCCTATTTGTAACAACTAGAATATCTGTAGATTATTCTAGGCAGAGGATCACGATAGCTCAATAACTATGTGCATATGACCATATAAAATGATGCTTATAAGAAATGAACTCCAAGAATGGAAACAAGAGGGTTGTTTTTAGTGTACTGTTTGCAGTCATTTCTCTTTTTCTTTCTTTTATTCTTTGGTTTACTCCCTGTTGTCATTGTTTTTTATTTCTGTGCCCTTTGTCTTGTATATAAGCTTATCTGATTCAGGGAAGCATAGTAGGGGAGTCACAGAAATGAAGGGACAAAGGATGAATCAATACGACAGTAATACTCACTAGACACTATGTTGGGAATGAATTTTACAACTTGGGGAGGAGGAGAGGGAAGGAGGAGAGTGGGAAAAAATGAGAGAGGGGGTAACACTGTTCAAAAAGAAATGTACTTATTACCTTACTTTAACCCTAACCCCTCTGTACATCACCTTTACAATAAGAAAGGGGGGGAAATAAAGTTAGGCAATGGGCTTAATAAGAACTTCGCCAAAGAAGATATATGTGATTGGCTAAAAGATCCAGGGAAAAGTGGTCACTCTCATTTATTCTGGAAGAAATGCAAATACAATGAAACAACTTTCTGTACTCAGGACTTGCCACACAATACTATAAGACCAGCCATGTTCAGTGAGGTTGACAAGGGTGTGGAGCATCTGAACTGCACACCACTGCTAGTTGGTATGGGAGTGGTATTGTATTAAATTGTATTGTAATAAATTGTTTGGCAGTTTCTTATAGTTAAACTTCTTGTGACCCAGTAATTCCACCCCTAGGATTTTATCCAAGAGAATTATAACATATGTGTACACACACACAAAATCTTCTTTGGAATAGATGAATAATTCCTTGCTCAGCAATAAAAAAGAAATAGACCAGTGATTCATACACATAAAGCTATATGGCTGATCTTAGAGAAACAGAGAAGGAGGGAGCTATCCCAAACTCATTCTACGATGCCAATATCACACTCATCCCCAAACCAGGCAAAGACCCAACCAAAAAAGAGAATTACAGACCAATTTCCTTGATGAACACAGAAGCAAAGATCCTTAACAAAATTCCAGCTAACAGAATCCAGAAACACATAAAAAAATCATACATTATGACCAGGTAGGATTCATCCCAGAGCTGCAGGGATGGTTTAACATATGTAAGTCAATAAATGTAATCCAGCATATCAACAGAGCCAAGGTCAAGAATCACATGATTATCGCCACAGATGCAGAAAAGGCCTTTGATAAAATTCAACATTCATTCATGCTAAAAGCTCTGGAGAAAATAGGAATAGAAGGAACATTTCTAAAAACAATAAAAGCCATTTATGACAGACCAATAGCCAATATTATACTTAATGGGGAAAAGCTACAACCAATTCTCCTAAAATCAGGAACAAGGTAAGGATGCCCACTGTCTCCACTACTCTTCATTATAGTCCTGGAACCCTTAGCCAGGGCAATAAGGCAAGAAAAAGACATTAAAGGGATCTGCATAGGGAAAGAAGAAGTTAAACTATCCCTTTTTGCAGATGACATGATACTATACCTTCACGATCCCAAAACCTCATCCCCAAACTCTTAGACCTTATAAACCTCTCAAAGTAGAGGATACAAAAATCAACCCACAAAAATCAGTAGCCTTCCTGTACACTGACAATGTACAAGCAGAGAGAGAAATAAAGGAAGCAACCCCATTCACAATAACCTCCCAAAAAATAAAATATTTAGGAAGTAACCTAACCAAAGATGTAAAAGAACTTATTTAATGAAAACTATAAAAAGTTAAAGAAAGAAATTACAGAAGACACTAGGAAATGGAAAGACCTCCCATGCTCTTGGATAGGCAGACTTAATATAGTGAAAATGGCAATACTGCCAAAATTAATATATAAATTCAGTGCAATTCCTATTAAAATCATCTCTGAAAATACATCTCTGAAATACAGAAAACAGTCCAAAAATTCATATGGAACAACAAAAGACCTAGAATAGCCAAAACAATTCTAGGGAATAAAGACAACATGGGAGGGATCTCGATGCCAAACTTCAAACTCTACTATAGAGCCATAATAACAAAGACAGCATGGTACTGGCACAAAAACAGACCCAAAGACCAATGGAATAGAATAGAAGATCCAGAAATAAATCCACATGTCTACAGTCAGCTGATATTTGACCAAGGAGCCAAAGACATACAATGGAAGAAACACAGCCTCTTCAACCACCGGTGCTGGGAAAACTGGGAGGCCACATGCAGAAGACTAAAAGTGGACCCCAGCCTATCACCATGCACCAACATCAACTCAAAATGGATTAAAGACCTTAACATTAAACCTGAATCTCTGAAACTACTGCAGGACAGAGTAGGAGAGACACTTTAACTTATAGGCACAGGAAGGAACTTCCTGAACAGAGTCCCAGGGTCACAACAAATTGGAGAGAGACTCAACAAATGGGACTACCTTAAAATAAAAAGCTTCTGCACAGCTAAAGCTATAGCAACCAAGCTAGAAAGACAACCAACTAATTGGGGAAAATATTGACCAGCAATATATCAGACAAGGGGTTAATATCCAGTATATACAGGGAACTCAAGAAACTAACTCTCCCAAATCTAACAAAACAATTACTAAATGGGCAAGGGAACTAAAAAGAAACTTCTCAGATGAAGAGATAAAAATGGCAAAGCAACACATGAGGAAATGTTCACCATCCCTGGTTGTGAAGGAAATGCAAATAAAGACAACCCTGAGATACCACCTTACCCCAGTCAGAATGTCCCACATCCTCAAGTCAGCCAAAGACAAATGCTGGAGGGGATGCAGAGAAAGAAGAACCCTATTACACTGCTGGTGGGAATGTACACTTATACAACCACTTTGGAAAGCCGTCTGGAGGGCCTCAGAAAGCTAAATATTGACTTTCCTTATGACCCAGTCATACCACTTCTAGGCATCTATCCTGAACAACAGAAACCAGTATACAAGGACACATGCACCTCCATGTTTATGGCAGCACTGTTCACAATAGCCAGGATATGGAAACAACCCAGATGTCCCACCACAGATGAATGGATCCAAAAATTGTGGTATCTATACACAATGGAATATTATGCAGACATTGGAAATGACAAAATAATGGAATTTGCAGGGAAATGGATGGAGCTAGAAGAAATCATGTTGAGTGAAGTAAGCCAAGAGCAAAGAGACAAAAGGTACATGGTCTCCCTGATAAGTGGATGTTAAATCCAAAATGTTAGGTGATACAACAAAATTAACAGGATTTAGGAAACAAAAGACTTCCACTCATCTGGTCAAATCACTATTAAATAACCTCATGCTGCTGATCACATGTATGGTATATAGGTGCACACCGGAGGGAAACCAGGAGGACGACACAGAACTAGAGGGAATCAGGGAAAAACATACAACAGCGGGACGCATCAGCTGCACTGAACATTGACCAAAATGAACTAAGCAACTCAATGGCAGCGATGGGAGGGAGGTAACAAGTGGGAAAGAGGGAACAGCTGATGCTATGCAAAACAAAA